CCCATTTTTTTCCCCATTTGTTGCACTGTCCTCCATAGCTTCTTCGAGACAATGGATCAAAGACAGGTAGGTGGCCGAGTCATGCTCCGCAAAGATGTCCTATTTTACACAGAACCTAACGTGTCCCCTTTAGGAGTGGAAAGTTGAAACATTTTAACAATTTTGTTGTCTATACGTAGTATCAATGCAAGTCCAAGCGTAACAACTTGACGCCCTAGTGCAGATATGCGAGAGCTTACGTTGGTGGGGAGGAGTAGGGGAAGGGGTCAACTTAAGACGAATTGGAAGGAGTTGATTAAATATGACGTAGGACTTCTTGCCCTTATTGAACATATGGCCTTAGATAGGAGTGTTTGGAGAGCTAGGATTAAAGTAGTAGTTCGGTAGGCGCCTTGGGTTAGGGTGTAGTTTTGTGTACTTGTTGTGTGTCTTGTATGACTCGTGCTTGGTGTTTTTTTATTGCAGTATTGTTTCTTCGTTAACTGTAGTTTGTTCTTTGCCTTTGTGTGCTTGTTGCTTTATCTATGCTCTCTCCCATTCTCCTGTGATCTTTTTATCCGTTCAACTTGATATAAATCTGTGGTCAACAATTTTTGTCGAGGAAAAGCTGTGGTAAGGCACCTGAATACTTTGAGGATCTCTTCTGCTCTTTGGACTGTCATGAAGAATACAGACTAAGAAAAAGCCGTAGATACATGCGTGAGGTTACAATTTGATTCTAATTTGAAATCTTAAAACATGTTTCTCTAAACAGAAGCAAGTATGTTAGGGAATGTGGTGTTTCATTTAACATAGGCAAAGCTTTGCTGCGCGCAGAGGCTTTTTGAAATCGAGCATGGTATTTGCACGAATTGTCAATTAAACTGCCATAAACTTGTGAAGCACATAAGGCTTTTATCACATGATAAGCGAGAAGATCATATTAACAAAGTAGCTCCACAGATCGCAAAGCGCAAAAAATTGTAAGTTTGTGTAGTTAATTAGGGAGTATTTGTTCTACCCATCCCAAATGAATATGAATGACGTCATATCATGACTAGAGTATATCTTATAAATTCTTAATGCAGGAATCCACTTATGTTTACCCTTGTCACATACTTACACATGACTAGGTGTATAAATAGATATTAAAATGTTTCATTGATATGATAAGGATTCATTTCTTGCAAAGAATTGGTGTGGATTTAAGATGAAAAATTAAACCCTATGCACCTTCCAGGCAACCAGTTATGTTTACTGTTGTTGCAATGATCCTTTTCTTATCAGTTTTTCATTTTCATTTTTAGTGCTCTCACGACTCATGGAAGGTCTTTGCAGCAAGATACTCTTTTGTTGGCAACACGATGTTTTCCTATTTCATATACTGATGCCATTTTTTGTGAAGTTTAAAAACCACTAGAAAACATTTTCCTATATGTGGATTCCTTTTTGGAATGGAAATTTTTCATTAGGGTTTTCTTGCATCATGGATGTTCATGGGAACGAGTGAATGTCAAGAAGTGGTATTGACAGATATACTAATTTTTTTTGTTTGTTTTTGGTTAAGAAACTTCATGTGCTGTTAGAACAATGAAAATAGATAAATTGGCCCATAACTATGACAGATTGTTATGAAACGTCTTTCACATTTAGAACCCTCTAAGTTTGTCGATCCGAATGATGTGTGTTTTTTTGTTTGCAGACTCGAGAAACTTGTTCTTTTACTACTCCCTCCGTCCTAAAACTTTCTTCCCACTTCCCATTTTTCTCCGTCCTAAAATTATCTTCCCATTAGAAAAAAAAGATGACAAATGATATTAATACCCTCATGTATTTACACCAATTATCTTTTAACTCTATATTTTGAATGATTGTAAAAAAATTCAAAAAATCTTTTTTAAGGAGGGTAAAATTTGAAGTCAAAGCCAAAAAGTAAAAATGGGGAAAAGTCAAACTGGGAAGAAAGAATTAGGACGGAGGGAGTACTATTTTAGTCCTTGTCCCTTTTCTTTTTCCAATTTTTATGCGGTTCCTATATACACGTTGATGCATCATTAACAATTTCCTTTTTCACACACTATTTATTTAATAAACAGGTGTTTCCTTTTTTTTGGAATGGGACATTTAAGATGTTGGAATTAAATGATTAATTATTGCCTTTATTATACTCGGAGTATTCTTTACTTATTTATTACGTAGTATATATCGTTTTCCTTTTTTTCTCTCATTGTTTTCATCCAGCAAAAATGGACCGTAGATTAAATTATTAGCAAATATCAACGGCTTATATCCTTTAGCAGATGGGCGAGAAAAGGATGGGTGCTATTTTCCCCTCCTTTTAAGAATAGAAGGATTCCAATTTTATTGAATAGATTCCAAAAATCTTTAAAGTACTTGGACATTAAATGTGGTAGTTTGAGTTGTCTTCTAAGCCCAAGTATATATATTACCATACTATTACACTAATATACATACCATTCTGTAATAGATGGAACAATGAAAATTTCAGTTCCAAACACAATAGTCTCGCTCCTAGATTGATTAATGTAAGATGGGTTCTTTGGACTTCAACTTCATTTTCTGCAATAAGATTTTTTGTTTTGGGTACTTGAACATGCATACAATATTTTGCACATGGGGTATTTTGGGCACAGTTATAGATAATATTTTGTAGAAAATGCATTAATTGCATGGATTTACAAAATATTTTGGAAACCGTGCAGTGACGGATCTATTTCAACTTTTTAATATGACATCATTGATTAGTGTGTCTTTTCTAGTCCAAAGCCGACCTATCAGTCCTGTGATATAGTACAGAGTTCAATATATAAAGAGATTGAAACAATACATTTTTAAAATCTTTAACAATTGCAAAGTAAACTTTGTAAGAAGACTTCTCCATCTAACTTAAGGTTTGAAAGCTCTTCATCTTCTACCCTCATTTACTATTCTTCATTATTGCTGATAACCCTTACTTTTCCTTATTTCTACAATGATGTTTACCATATTGCAGTTTACACAAGGATTAAATTCAACAAACTTAAGGACAAATAAAAAAGAGACATGATGACACAGTAAAAATATTGAATAATTAAAGGAGCATATATAGATGGAGAGAGCGTGACAAGCGAAAGGCGGAAAATGGAGTGAGCGAGAGAGAGAGATTCCGGTTTTGGTCGGTTAGCTAGGGTAGAAAATATATTTAAGTTTTATTAGTGGGCTGGGTTGAAGGGTTGTAGTGGGCTAGTTTTATACATTTGTGCTGGTGGATTAGTTTAAAATAATTTTTTTGTAAGGGACTTTAATGGGCTGATTGGTTTAATTATATTCAATTCCGACCCACTTTAGCTCGGGTTTGGGTTTAATTTTGACGAATCAATTTTGAATATTTAAATTTTCAATTCAGATTCAGTTTAAGATTTAATCGGGTTGGTTGCGGTCAAATAGGACCATTTTTTATTATTTTATTTAACATGTTTATAAACTTATTTTAATAAAATTCTATTTAAAATAATATATTTTTATAAATTCTAAATTATTGTATTTATTGCACAATTAAAGCATGAACTGGAAATTTTAAGAGTTAATGTTACAATTCAAGTGCAAGAGTAATCGAGACTCTGATTTTATGGAAAAGTGTTGAAAATGCTTTAGCGTACGTGGTCATCTATCATGCTTACAAATTGGCAACGTGTGATGAAGATTATTTTTTATTAATATTTTAACGATCATTATGTTCTTAATTGAATATTTCACTATGATGCTTTTAGAACTAAATGTTAGCTATTTTTCTTTGTAAGGTACTAAAAGTGTTGGAAAGTATTCTATATGTAATGTATCCGGCATGCTCTTTTGATGAATTTTTATAATGTTAACTATTTGTATGCCTATTATGATTATGACGGATGTTAATTTTTTGTTATCAAATTCCAAATTTAGTAAAATAAATATTAGCAATGTATCATTCTCTACGCTTACAAGAAATGGACGATGTATTTCTTTTTGTTAACTTTTTAAGTAAAACATCATACTCCCTTCGTCCCATTTTAAATTGCATTTTTTTCATTTTTTGTCTGTTCCAAAATAAATTGTCTGTTTCTTATAATAATAAACTTTTAAAGGTAAAATATATAGACTACCCCTAAAATAAGTCACTCTCCCCCTTTGTCTTCTCATTCATCGCTGGGAGAAGGAACAAACTAGGAGTAAAACATATGCTATATCCTCAAAAAAGGAGTTCAAACTTAAACTTCTCTAAATAGGAGTAAAACATAATTAATAAAACAAAAAAATGTTCCCACACGCACATTTTTTAAGATGCATGCGACTATACCAGTGGTGGCTGCATGCGACTATACCAGTGAGGCAGTGATTACATTTTTTTTTGTAAGGAGCATGATCTGATTTTAACTTAAGGAGCACTATACTTAGTAACTACATGGAACTATTTTTTTTGCAGTCATGTTTTTGATTTTTTTCATTTTTTTATTAGGAAAGTCATTATGTTTTAGTCCTATTTAGGTAAATTTCTCTTAAAATAAAGATTTTAACTTAATTAATAAAACAAAAAAATGCTCCCCACACGCGCTGCATTTGCGGCCAATACTAGCGGTGGCCAAGTTCAAAACTAAAAAATTCGGCCAATTTCACAACAGCATGCTACCGACAGCGACGACCACTATCGCAATCGTCGTCGACGGTGATGCATGCCCACCGCCGCCATCATCGCCGCCACATACCTGCCACTATCAATTGAATCTCCACCACCGTCGTCCTCTGCTCCGCCGCACCGCTACAAAGAAACCTACAATATAATTGACGCTTTTGAGTTTTCGTCGTCACCGCCGACGATATCACTGCTTTATACCATTATCAACAACACTACCATAAAATTTGTACCATCGTTGCCACAGTGCCATATTAATAGTCAATACAGTGTCAAAGAAAGACATAATAATGTCAAATATGGCACCATGTAATGTCACATATGACAATATTTAATATCATAGATGCCCATATATAATGCCACATATATGCTCATATATAATGTTACAATGTTACACAATGACATAATGCCAAACCAAATCCAATGACACTGTAAACCTTTTTTATTATAGTAAAAAAACTAATCTTTGGCATCATTTCGTATATATACGGCGGTGGCCATTGATAATGGTTAAATTTTCATTCTTAATAAAACAAAGACTGGATGGGCTATTGTAATATAGAGTAATACATAGAAATGCATAGCATGAGTGGCAATCGAATCTACAATGCCAAATACGACAATCACAATGACAAACATATCACTAGATAATGAAAAACTTGTTCCTGTATAATGTCAAAAACAAAAAAAATAACAATTCAGGTCTACTGTTGTAAAATCAAAATTCAATAAGAAGGAATAGAAATCAAGGTGCCCAGATCATATCTCTATTTTTTACTAATGTACTTCCTAACATTTTGCAGACCCCAGGAAAAAAAATAATTGGAAGCTTATCGAAAACAAAATACCAAAGATGTCAATGCACAGTGACAAACGTGGCTCTAGAAAATGCCAAAAGTTCAATTGTACTCGGTGATACATGTGCATGCATCGAGCCCACGAAGTCATTAATTATGGGAAGAAGACAAATTCTTTCCGATTATTTTAATCTGCAGAGATAACTAGGGGCTCTTTATATGAGGAATAAGAAATCAGCCATTCAGCCCAATTCCACTTCAAAAATGCCCATCGAAATTCGCTATTATTAGACTTTTCTCCATTAAACAATTAAAATAAACAAATAGACAATCTCTCCATTGTTACCTCTATACCAAAAACAAAAAAAATCCCAAAGCACAAGAAAAGTGGATTAGAAGTATAAGTTGTACGAGTTGACTTATGTTGGATGAAAACTTTGGTCTGTAGTTCTGTTCAAGCACTTGATATAGTTTCGGTTTTGGACACCGTGTCCACCCTTCTTCTCTCGACAGTCAAACAATTTTACAATAAAAATAATTAATTACTCCTAATTAATTACTCCTATTTAGAGGAGTTTATGTTTGAACTCCTACTTTGAAGATATAGTACATGTTTTACTCCTATTTAGGGGGTTTTCTTTTCATCGCTACCCCCATAAAAAGTAAGGCATTTTTGAAAAATCAACATAATTTTTACCCGCCCTTTAAATATGCCCCAAAGTCGAATGTTAGCTTATTGTTATAGTATCCTAAATTTAGAACGATAAGTATTAGCAATGCATCATTATCTACAGATATAGTTTATAAAGTAGTGTTCCAAAACTTTTATCACTTCATATCGACTTTTGTCATTATTGTATAGAATTCCCTTTTTGGAAAATCGTATTAAATTATGTAATTTTTCAAATTTTGTAACAGTTTTCATTATTATAAACATTGAATAATTATATGTAAATTAACAGTCCGTTCATTATCGCAGGGCTACGAGTGTAATATTCTATCAGACTAATACAGGGCCCTCAATAGTCAATACCCCTCTAATTTTGAATTCGCCACTGCAGTACGGTATAATTTGAGTCTGCCATACTTCCATTTGGTTGTCCTACGCTACCAAATCTTTT